TGCCTTACTGAAATCAAGGTATATTAGGTCCACCGCATTTCCCTTATCTAATAAGTCCGTTACTTTCTCAAAGAAGGAGATCAGATTGGTTTGGCACGATCTGCCTTTGGTAAAACCATGTTGTAATTTGTCACAATTGCCATTGACCTCAAGGTCCTCAACTACTTTCTCCTTCAGAATTTTCTCCAGGACCTTGCACACTACAGATGTTAAACTGACAGGCCTGTAGTTACCCGGGTCACTTTTTTTCCCTTTCTTGAAAATAGGAACCACTTTAGCTATTCTCCAGTCCAACGGAACAACCCCCGAGTTTACAGATTCATTAAAAATTATCGCTAAGGGGCCTGCTATTTCTCGCGCCAATTCCTTCAATATTCTCGGATGAAGATCATCCGGTCCGCCCGACTTAGTCCCATTAAGGTGTTCAAGTTTGGTTTCTACCTCGGATACGGTAATCCCCCCTCCTGTATCCCCCTCTGTCACGCCGCTAATATTCCCAATCCCTTCATTGGCCTCATTGAACACCGATGCAAAATATTCGTTTAGATATTGTGCCATGCCTAGATTATCCTTAATCTCCTCTCCAGCTGTAGTCTTCAGCGGTCCCACTTCTTCTTTCTTTGCTTTCTTCCTATTTATATGGCTGTAAAACCTCTTACTATTGCTTTTCATTCCCTTCGCAAGGTCCAACTCTACACGGCTTTTGGCCTTTCTCACTCCATCTCTACATGCTCTGACCTTACTAAGGTAAGTTTCCTTACTGATCCCTCCCCTCTTCCACTCTTTGTACGCTTTCTGTTTTTTCCTAATCGCCCCTTTGAGACGGTCGCTCATCCAGCTCGGTCTAAATCTCTTGCTCACTAACCTTTTTCCCTTTTTCGGAATACAGGCCTCCGACAGCTCATGCAGCTTTAACTTAAAATAATCCCAGGCTTCTTCTGCCTTTAGATCCATTAATACGTTTGCCCAATCCACTTCCTTTACCAGTCCTCTTAATTTGTTAAAATTAGCCTTTTTAAAATTATAAACCCTAGTCTTTGATTTGATTCTGTTACTCCTGCCATTTAGTTTAAACCGAATTAGCTCATGATCACTGGAGCCCAAGTTGTCCCCTACAACCACTTCCTCAACGAGGTCCTAACTACTCACCAAAACCATTGATCATTGAGAACAGAAACTCTCTCAAGAATACATCATTGCCATTCTGGAATAGAAGCCTGTACCCAGAAAGACAGAGATGCCATATACTGGCCAAACATGATCAAGGACAACTGAGACCCGTGAGCAATTGTGATGCAAGTGGGGAAAAGCAGGCCAAGCAGCTTAAAAAGGACAATGGAAATACACAGGATTCCGAACAGAGCAAAGTGATAATGGACTCTTTGATCACAAACTACCTTATTACTTAGGTTACTAGCTAGACTCCTGGGAACTAGCTGAACTGTCAAGCACTATTATCCTTATAGACAAAGTAATGAAGCATTTCAGCAGGTGTGGCATCCCACCCTGTATAGTTTCAGACAATAGACCCCAGCTGACTTGCAGCAAATGTAAGGTCCCAGGGGTCTAGAACCCAGGCCTAGTAGAGCTACCAGGCAGCTGGCCTCTCCAGGCTGCCCCCCAGCAGCAGCTGTAACTGGCTTGTACATCACTCCCCATGACACACTCTAGATATAGACCCCTAGAAGTTCTGTCTCAAGAGTTTGACAGACAGCAGCCCTTAGCTCCTGATTAGCTCCCCGCCCTATATAAACTCAAAGGGCATTCTAGGAAATATTCAGGTAAGCGTGTGGATCTTCTGTAGCTGCCATGGCTATTACAGCTCCTTATTCTTGAATTCCTGGCTTGACCTTGGCTTGATTTGGACTTCACCTCCTGACTTGGACTCTGACCCTTGGTATCGACTCTAGCCTGGACCTGCTATGAACTCCTCTGCTACTCCTAGCCTCAGGTTTGCTCCTGTTCTGGCCCTAGGCCCTGGCTTGTTGGGCTCCTGACAATAAGTTTGTGCAGTTTATCCAGAAATGGGATCACATCATTGTCCTATCATATCATTGCCATACCACAGCTAGTCACTGACAAAGCTGACTAGGCAGTTAAAGTTGCTACGACTCTGTTAAAGAAAGTGGCAAAAAGCAAAGAGAATATATGGCAAGACATTCTTGAATGGAGAAACACTCCCACAGAAGGCATTGATAGCAGTCCAGTACAATATTTGATGTCAAGATGAACATTTTGTGACCCAAGAACTCCTCAATGCCAACTGGCAAGGGCATTGCAAGAGTATCCTGATTATGGTATGTACATTCTGATTCACCAAAGAATGTCATGTGAGGTCTCAAATGAAACCCAGGGTCACATAGGTCACTGTTATTGTTGAGAAATACTATGTGAGGAGTTATGTATGTAGACTGAAAATATGTTTGTAGCTTCTGTATCATAGTACTGGCAGAAACAAGTTTCCTGTCAGACAAAATATGTTTATTCACACATCTCTCTATCAGCATGTAAGCTAAGACAATGGATGCACAATTATGTACAAAGTCAGAGACATATGAAGTCAACAGGTATGAGCACACAGGAAAAACAAGTAACAGGTGGTTGTACTGTGTCTGAGTACAGACAGTGAACTTTGGGGAAATAAGCAGAAGACAAAAAAGGTATCCCCTTATCCTGCACCAAGGAAGTAAATGGGAAGTGTGTTTACATTCATGAAAAATGGGATCACAACCAGCTGTGGTTGAAGACATTGTAAAGCTTTTGGTGAGATAACCTCCTAATGAAGTTTAACCTAATAGTTAAGTTTAATTACTACAAAGTGTGTTATGATTTTGTTTTACATGTAACCTTTTGTTTTCATTACCCTTACTCACCATCTCTTAAATCTTCAGTAATATACTTATCCTTGTTTTCACTATAAATACATCTCAGTGCTGTTATATTAAGCAAGATGATGATCCTGAGTTGAATCATACCAACTGGTATGTGCACTGTTCCCTTGGGGACAGTAGATCTGGTATTTATGTGAGTGTTCAGCGGATAGGGGGCTGGACACTAACAGGGGAACGCTTCAAAGGGGTTTGGAGACTGGGGTGCACCTACTGTTAGCCTGCAAGGCAAAGTAAGGGCTGGCAAAGCCCAGAGAAGAGTGTGTGTGTGGCAAACAGGCTGGTGGTGTCAGGGAGCGGACATCCAGTTAAGCACAAACAAGTAT